CCTTAACTCGCAAATTAAGTACAATGGCGGTTTAATATACATTTTGTATATTAGAGAACGATGATTGTAACGAAACGACTACCGTAGCATAATATATTAACAAGGAAGGCGTAAAAAAAGCGAAAAGAAGTAAACGAAAGTAGGTGTTCCAACTAAATAGGTATACAATAAAAGTTTTAATAGTTTATAGAAATGACAAACAACGCGGGTACCTAATAATTAATATTGCTGTGTCTTCCTAATTAATAAGAACGAAAAAATAATAACTAACTAAACAAAACGCTAATATAATAATAGTAAAACTTATATAATAATATATATATATAAACATATATTATTATATATTAGGTATCGTATCCGTTTGGCTAAAACTAATAATACAAGTAGGTAACTCTACAAAAATATTATAATATTAAAATACACTAAAACTATGAAAATTACAATATATATTATACCTAGTAGTATTGTCGTTGGGATAAAATATCGAAACATTTTTAGTCAATTATTTCTATATCATAGGAAAAAAAGAGTTCTAGTTAAATAGGAGTGATAATTATTATTATTGTAATAAAAAAAAAAACTATTATTGTTCTTTTTTTTTGTTTTCTAAACAATTGGAATTTAAACGAAAATGTAATTTTTTTAACGGCGGACTAGTTGCACGTGCCGCGGTGGTGGTACAGGTCGTATATGTGGTCGGTGTTTTGTGGTCGAGTTGGTGGTGTTGGTAGTGGTGGTGGTAGAATAAGGTTGGCGACAATGACGGTCAGTGTGCCGCCGACATAACTCGAACTAGTAACTATTCTTCACGGCCACCTTTGAACAAAATCAATAATCGCCACAAAAAAAAAAATTGGAATTGTGTAAATCATCATTTTACATAACATACATCATATATATATATAAATGTATATATATAGACGTATAAACAAATAGTTATTGTATACATATATATATATTTATATATACATTTAAAAGGAGAGAGTGTAACATAATAATATTCGGTTGTCAAGTGCGAACACCTAATTTGTTTATGTACACACACATACTGGACAGAGCAATAGCTGCGACAAAGACTCAGTTTAGAGCAGCAGCATCATCACCACATCGCACACCATCCGCTGCTGTTTTTTTAAAAATTTTTTTATTAAGGAAGGGTTGTTTTTTTTATAGAAATTAAATAAAAAATAAATAAACAAAACGCTCGAATGGGCGTTTCGGAACACGCTGTTCCGAATAACCGTCACGAGAGTTATCTCAGCCCCGGTGAATCGAAGCAGCAGCAGCAACACTACAAGGCCTAAGAATAGACCGACAACAATCGCCTAACGCCAGAGATCTGTCATAGCTCACAACATAGGCGATAAAGGGTCGACAAGTCCGAGCTAATACTTGTGGATCATTTTGAGTTGCATTGAAAAACAAACCGGAATGCTCGACAGAGTCACCGAAAGAATAACCTAACCTAAACTTGTGTATGTGTATATGTGTGTGTGTGTGTGCTATTTTTACAGTGTTAAACAGGAAAAACCCATCAAAGCAAAATAACGAACAGTAACGAGAACAGCAAAATAATTCAACGATGTCGAGTGACACGCGAATCTCTAACGGCCGTTCTCAGCATGGATAAGAATTATAGACAAATTTGTACTTAATAACTGACTTGTAATACCTGATTTACAAAGCTACAGGCAAAATTTGTTTTTATTATTGAAAAACAACTATTTTCGTTCGAGTTGTCAGTATGAGTGATTCGTCAACAATTATGTGTTTAACTGCGGGCATTGTACAATTTCAGTTTTTGATGAAAATCGTTTTCTAAAAAAATGTGTTATTCGGCTAATTTCGAAAATACCAGAAGCAATTCGAATGTAGAGTTTTCTACATCTTTCATGTGCTCTTTAAAAACAATGATTCCGAGTAACCAACAAAGAAATAGAAAAAAGGCTGAGTTTACAAATCAGGCGGTGAGAATAGCGAATGCTGCATTTGCATCTAAGTGATTGGAAATACCCATAAGGCACAGTGATAAAAAGTAACGGAAAACAAAAACGGCGAATCTCTTCGACAGTGGCTAACAGCGACGGGAATCGAATTAAAATAGTAATTTAATAAACGTCGATTTAGTACAGGACAAAAGGTAAAACAAAAATCTCGTTAATCTCGAAACGTGCCCAAAGTAGTATCTAAAGCTAACAGGACAACTTTTGTACAAAGTGATCCATTTGACGGGTTTTTCACACGAGTCGACAGCGAAAAAACATGATACTATAAATGCCTATCCGAAGTAATTATATGCGTTTCGATATCGTGAGCGAGAAAACAAAACGAGATATAGTTTAAGACTTAAATTATTTTTTTAGAGTTAGCGCACGTAATCGTACGCACAATATAGGTATTATATAAAAATGTATAATAATCATCGTCGAATAGGCGGTGAGCGGCAAAGGAGGAAAAATAGAGAAAAATCATACGCAGGCAAAAAATAAAGTTTCCAAAAAATCAATATCAAAAAGGGTAAAAAACAAAACATAAAAACGCTAAGTACACGCTAGATAATAATACATGTAAAACGTCGTTGGAAAAATGATATAATGATCGATGGATAATGGTAATGGATAATGATCACACACGACATTGTGGTCCAGTCTACTCAGCTATGATGACTTAATATTATTATACAAAACAAAATCAACGAAAAATAATAATAATAACAAAATAATAATATTCTAGTGCTGCTGCAGCGGCGGCGGGGGCGACGGTTTGTTGTCAGATGGTATAAAAAAAATGTCGTGTATAATATAATAATAATAGTATGGTTTTATGTACTAATTATACATGTATGACGGCAGTAAAAACAGTAAACGGTTCGTAATACAAGCATGCAAAAAATAAAGAAATATTGCCAGACAACAACAATAAACACCACATCATACCAAGATATACACTCGTACAACAACAATATTGTATCATTTTGTACGTATATAAATATACATATATATAACATAGTTTCTAAAAAAAAACACACACAAAATCAAAATTTGTATTTCCGCGTTAAACTAAATAATATTGTATCATGATGAGTATAGTATGTCGAGTCCGTAACACCAGTAATAAGTGCTGTATAATGTGAGAGAAGTGTGTTGAAGTGAAAAGTCAAAGGACACACACAATTAATTATACAATACAGTAATAGTATCATTATAAGCCACGAGAGAAAGAGAGAGATGTTTTTGCAATGAAGATCATCGTTATTATTGACCATTAAAAATAGTAACCTAAGTATACAACAACAATTGTATTATAGTCGAGGATAAATGTTTTATTTTGCGTTATTATTATTTGTATTTTTTTCTACACGCAATACACACTCGACGCCAAAAGGTGCCATCGCTAAGCTTATTGTGTTTTGAATATATTTACCAAAAATCGTACATTCGTTGAATTTCAATACATACATATTGGCACTATGACGCTATGTGTATGATATTATATATATAATACGAGTTAAGTGTAATCAGTGCTACTGCCGGATTTTGAAAACGGTTAACCGATTTAACTACAGGACAACAACAATATAATATGAAAAAAATGTATACCAAAAAGTGTATTTTTTTTTAAAATTATTTTTTGCTGTGCAATTTTATTAACTGGTTTTTAAAAAGTTTTTTAACAGAAATAATAATATAAATAATAGATACTCAACAAACTATTGACGGAATCCACTTAATATTATTTACTTACTATGTATAATATTATTTATATGGTGATGATAATAATTATAATAAAAGAACTATATATTTTTATAAAGAAGCGTTTGACTTACGCTAATAGTTATTATTATAATTAAATCGAAAAAAAAAAAGAATTTTTTGGTAATTAAATACTAATTAACACTAAAATATTAGAACTAATTATACTATCAACGGTCACTACTAATAACAAACAAAACTATGAAGTCATAATAACAGTATCTCATACGAGACAAGTAATGCAATTATTTAAAAAAGATTAAACATTTTTTTTTTATAATTATTATTATACATCTAATTAAGTATAAATCTAAACAGCCGTTTATCCCATTTTATTCCCTCATCGCTACTATAAAACACAATACATTGTATTGTAAATAGCTTAATAATAATTATTTGACATCAGCAGCGTGTGCGGACAAATGTTTAAGATAGTGAAAAATAAATTTAAATAGTCGTTATAAATAATTTAAAAAAGCGTTTGTTTATTTGGCTTTTAGTAATGGCTTTTTTTTTTAATATATAAGTACTAAAATTACATTAAAACATATAATTTTTATTTCTATCAAAAATAATGTAATATAATAATAATAATAATAATAATAATAATAGAAATTTGTTGAGCTTAAGTAAACGCACACACACACACACACACGTTCAAACGCTCCAAGTGAGGATTTTTTTTTGCAATTAGCAATGTAGTTTAAAATGTATTAAGTCATTTAATAGATAGTATGCGAGTCGTCGAATGTTGTTGGACATCGTAAAGGGATGTGTGTGAGTGAGTGAGTGTGTGTGAGTGTGTGTGTGTGTCAATGTTATACATAAATATTCGGTGCAGGGTGCAATTCGAATAGTGTCAAATGTAGTCAAATGATTGTTGATCTTAGTCGTTAAATTAAAAATTATATATAATAATAATAATAGTAATAGTAATATAACTTCTAGAACGTTAGTAGCGCTAATTTTAGTTAACAAAATTATTATACTAAAAATGTAATAAAAAAAAAAAAAAACGGTAAACAATACGTCGGTATGGCTGTAAGAAAAATATCGCGCACGAGGTGTATTTGTTATTTTTTTTAGAATTAAATTATTACTACGTTGGCGACACTGCGCTTACAGTGTGTGAAACGAATGGCAACGTTTGATATTTAAATTTAAATGTCAATTGGAAAACCAGAAAAGAGTAGGCAGTGTTTTACAGAGTGCGCGATTTGTCGTACAACCTAACACACGTATTATGAATTGTATTTTTTTTTAAATTTATTTATAAATTACGTTAACGTCAAAAACTAATGTTTTTTTATTGTTTCATAAAGCGTATAAAAAAGAAAAAAGAAAAATGGAGAAATATAACGTAACACTATTATCGTATAATGTATTATTATTATTCGTATTAAACGTAATTAAACCCTATAAAACTATTATCATTTAATTATAGCCCTCTAATATAGTTACGATTAACCCCGTGGCAAAAACAGTTCAACATCATAGTATAATGTATAAGTAACTAATTTAATAATAATAATACTATTTAACAATATCGCTCCGTGTATGTGTATACACATAAAACATGTTTATTCGACAATTATAATATTAGAGCTATGGATCGGAAGAACGTTTGGCAATGGTATATTAATAAGTTAAGGCTCGCTTTGTTTTTTAATCAAGTCTATGTTTTTTTTTTTTTTAAATATAAATCTTAAAAAAAAACAACAAAAAGTCTATTGTTGGCAGAATTGAACACACGCATCTGTATATGTATGTTTATGCATATACTAATATACAGAGCGATCGAAAAGAATGTTTTAACAATCATGACAATAATAATAATAATAATAGTAATCATAATACAAAGTTAAAGGCCGTTCTCATCACCAATTAAGTCTATTCGCGTCTACTCTTTCCCGTATTACTTTTGAATACATTTTTTTTTTTTAAATTTTTGTTTCATTATAAAATAATAATCGTTAGTTGCTACTACTATTCATTTATTTTGCGAAACAATAGCAATAAAAAGGCCCGATTTGTTTAATTATTTTTTTTTTTGTTAACGTGTGTGTGGTGCCTTGTGTCCGAGACGAACAACAACCGGTCAAACCATTTGACCTTGCCACAATCTCTGAAAAGAAACATGTGTGGGTTACAAAAAAAAATTCTCAGTAATCTCTCCCCACTTGGCAGAGTGGTGAACAATAATCAATCAACAACAAATGAATAATAATCGATGGAAAACATAAAAAAAAAATTAATCATGTATTCAAATGCAAACCAAAATATGAAATTAAAATTTAAAAAAATCATCCACACACATAACTCATTGGCATAAGCGGCAACGAGCATAATTCATGAGTCGGGCTCGTCGAAAAAAAATACAACGAAAAAATTAAAGGAAACAAAAAAACAAAAATTACATTTAGCAGCCAAAATATGTAAGTAAATAATAATAAATAATTAGTATAACAATAAATATTATATTATAATAAACATATATTATAATATATAAATAAATGTATAAATCACGCGTGTAGTTAAAACCAAAAAAAAAAAAAACGCATACACACACACACGCACACACAAATAAAGAAAAACTAAATGTATAGAAAATTTGTAGTTTGTTATTATTATTATTATTATTATCCTTAAACTGTATAATAGTGTATTAAAAAAACCAAAAATTAATCTTACTATTCTTACTATGACTATTATTGTTATTTAATTGTTTGAGTGATTATATAAATTCAGTGAATTAATAAAATAAATGCAATACTGTCTGTGTTAGTAATAATTGTAAAATGAAAAGTAAAAATAAATGATTATAGGGTTATATGTGTATTGTATATTTTTTGTGTTAAGCGACAATAATCAAAAAGAACAAGTATAATACAGTGGAAAATGTTGTTGTTGCTTTGCTTTGCTAAATTATAGTAGAAAATAAAACGTTCGAGGGCTAGGTATTAAAAAAAATATATATAATAAATAAATAAATAAATAAAAAAATGATGTGTACTCATAAGATTTACTTATATTTTATACCCTTACCTCTAACGTGGTGCGGGTGCAGACTTTTTTCGTTGCCCCTTTAACTTCGGCGGCGATTGAATTTTTTTTAAGTTTTATATTATAATGCAAACATTAAAAACGATTTAACGAAAACGAACCGTATCAAAAATAAATAATAATAAAATAAAAATGGTAAATAACTATAAACAAATAAATAAATGTATATATATATAAAAAAAAGAATACGGGTTCTTCTATATTATATCATATATAAATAAATATATATATATAATATGTCAGCCTTATCAACAACGTTACCGCCTATTATTTACGTCTATCGGCTTATCACTATAAAAATGATAACATAATGTAATAATAATAATAAACACACACGCGCGCATTTTCCACCTGACCACTTCTACTATTTTTTTTTTTTTTAATATATACTTTTTTTAAAATATATATTAATATTTTTTTGTTTTCCTTCGGTGATGATAATAATAATAATAACAACGGAATAAATAAATAATTATCGTTATTTACAATAGTAAATTAAAAAAAATTGTTTTACCGGTCTAAAAAAAAAAGATGGATTATCATGGATATCATGTAATGTGTAAATTAAAACGAAGACGTCGATTAGTTTTTTTTTTTAAATCACACCAAACACACAAAAGCACACAGGTGCATTATTAAACACACGCACACAAACTGTAACGAAATCGCCGCCGGTTTACATATTAAAACACAAGTGCGCCATACAAAAACATGTCCGTGTAGTAATTTAACTTATAAAATAACATGATAACAAAAATGTATATGTATATAAATAGTTTACATTTTATATGCATACATATGTTTGTATATATATATATAAACTAAAAAAGCCATGCAAAGCTAGTAAATATCGTACAAATACAAACCACAAACTGAACACACAACGTGCATACAAAAAAAAAAAAACCCATAACAAACTCTATGAGATAAATAATTAAGAAGGAACTGTTGGTAGCAGAGCGTGGTAGGTAACAGCAGCGTTTTTTTTTCATCCGTAAGTACAATACTAAATAATAATATATTCCACTACGTAATAATATATTAAATTATGTATTTTCGGCGCTATTGTACTAAGACTTCTACTACTATTACGGGGTTCGGACTGGTATTATATTCAATCGATTGCGATTTATGCACAACAATAAGTTATCACGAAACAAATTAAAAAAATACGACAAAAATGTTACAAAAAACGTTGTGGAAAAACTATACAGGTTATTTTTGAACCCCCTTCGCCCATTTTATTGTTTTTTTTTGTTTTTTAACTAAAAAGAAACGACCAAGACGTATGCAAAACCAAACAAAAACACACACGCGTTCAAACTGTTATTTTGGGAAAGTACACAAATAAAACAAATAGGTAAAACGACAAATAACAATTTGTAATGCGGTCAACATTTCCATGCACTAAAATTCGGTAAAAACTCTGGACAGAACCGTCGCCTGGCTTTGAGTGCGATTGACCTTATTGAAAATAAACGTTCAACTATTGTGGATTAAGGTGGAGCGAAAAAAACAGTTTTGGCGTCAGTCATAACGTAGACACGGTACATGAAATAAGAATAACCACAATTGTGATAACTCTTATTATTCCCAAGAAAGGTTATGTGCGGGACTAAGCTGCGGGAAAGATATAGAAGAAAACTATGCGATGATTCGATTTGCTTTTCCATTTTTTTAATCGAAAAACCAAAGCTTCATCATGACACTCGCAGTTTGCATAATCGTTACCACGAAACAATGATGGTCATTTACCTAAAACTTTGTTTATCTACAACCCGTAGAACTTGTGTTAAAAATCTCAAAATGTAGTTTTTTTAGGATTTGGAAACCAGTCCCGCCCTTTAGATGCGACTCGGCTGGATTTCGACATTGCGATTAACATCATAACTGGTTAAAGTCGGGAAGAAGTCGCTGGTAAATGTATATCACGTCATAATATATTATATGGGTCGTTTCGCAAAAAAATGATCATCTTTGTTGAAAGGTAAAAATCCAAAACAAGGTCATCGTGGAAACGTTTTGCTTTTCATTTACACTATAGAATCCCATAATTCCAATTCCGGGAGAGCGAGGCACAGAGGGATGTGAGAATTTCCATGGAAACTGTGGACTTGTCTTGGCTTTTTATTAGGAATGAAATATTTGAACGATACGCGGATCTACTGCCGGACAATGTCTTATCTCTAATGTACATTTAGGATAAAGTTACTTACGTGATGTGACTTATGATTGACAGGGTAGCGGAGTGAGTAAAAAATGACATCCAAAAATTCACCCTATCGCCACGACGATACTGACAACTCTGCTTCCCAGACAAAGGCAACGTTATAGTCGGTTTTGGAGGGAACATACAAGGTGGCCAACTCTTTAATACAAATATTTCTCAAACCTAGGAAGGCATAACCTGGTGACAAATTTAAAACTCAACTGGAGACCGAGGTACCAATGTTGGCAACATCTAAAATAAGATGCCCATAGTTTACTGCAGTTGATTGAATGGTATTCCTCCGAAAATCAACCTTTAGCAGACAACGCTGCCATGGTATTCCAACGTGGGAGCGGTATTGAAGGTTTCAGCCTAAGACATATAGATCTTGGAACTTTTGCGTGGATGCAAATGAACCACTTTTGGTGAAACGACCCATAAAAATATTTATTATGTATACATTAGGCAGCAATAGGAAGGGTAGGTGATATGTGCGTTTTACTGTGCCTAACCGGTTTTTATAATAGAACAAACACCGATTTACCCGTTTAAACAGATCTACCTACGGGATAGAACAAAAAAAAAAGGACTTGGCCAAACTATAAGCGTTAGTTGAGGCCGACTGCAGTCTAAAGAAAAAACAACGACCGTCGTAATACTGGTAGTAATGATTTTGGCGGTTGGTAGCGGCGGCAGTTGTGTAACGGTAATAGTAGTAATAGTAGTAGGTAGCGTTAGTAAATAGCGGGCCAAAGTATAAAAAAATAAAAAACGTATAAAAATCAAACAAACAAAAAAAAAAATGTCAAGAAAAAAAAATCAGATTAAGGAAGAAAGCGGCTTACAGCTTGGTCAGTGGAGCTCTTGCTGTATGGGACCGGAATCAAACGTTCTTGCAATTCACCGCCTATCACCTTTAACGTTTAATATTAATAATTTGCATTAGAGGATGATTTTCAAAATATTTAAAAAAAAACCACTTATTAAAAAAAAAAAATGCATTTTAATTTTCGTTTTGTCGACGTTGATTGACGTTTAGGTACTGCATAATATATATATTTATATTATTAACGTACATAATGTTTCTAACAACCTCGATCATATGCAATGAACATTGTGACATTTTTTTTTTTTTGTACATTGTGCATTCACCAAAAAATTATCATTTATCGAAGAGATCGCAGCAAAACCACCCACGATTGTTTATTTAAATTGGTTTAATATATAAATGGATACAACCGTAATCGTATTAGTAATATCACAAACGATAATAACAATTATTATCAACCTTTGACCGCTGATACATAGTTAAATTCGTAACCGCCACATAATCATTTTATTATAAATAAAATATAACAATAAACCGAATCACCAAGCACACACCGGATGATTAAGTGTAAATATTTTTAATTTATTTCTATTTTTTTTTTTTTTTTGTCGCTGCAGTTATAGTATTATACTAAAAATAATGATCGTAATGCGATTAAAAGCCACCACCGCAAAATTTTGGAAAAAATTGTACACCAATTGTAAATATTTTGGTTGGCATCATGATTTCCCCCCCAAAAAAATGCAGTGTTTAAGTGTCTAGGTTTTTTTTTTATAAATAAAGACAATACATCAAATCAAATGTAATATGTGCAGGAAAGAGTTCAAAAAGTATAAGTGTACGGATAAGATATATACCATATTATAATAGTATACACTATCGACCATTTTTGTAATATTATATATGTATATAATATATTTGTACTTATGTACGCACGACGGATGTAAAATGTGTGAGTGAGAAGTTGTTTTGTGAAAGAACAAAAAATATGTATTGAAATAAGTAGAACACGATACTATAGTGTGATCATCTATAGTGATGCGGACAGATATACCTAATTATTATTTTACATAATAATTTATGATTATTTATGCAACCGATACGATAGAATAGTGTACGAAACGAAATAAAAAAACTAAGACCAAAAATAATAAAACATAATAGGTATAGCTGAGACATAGACAGAGACAGAGACAGATAATAATAATATCGGTGATAGTGAGTAAGAAATTAATGTGTGAGCGAGAGAGCCAGACAATATAATATATATGTATGTATGTATGTAGATAAAAATTAAAAATTAAAAACACTTTTACAGCTGATGCTAATATCCTTTTTATAATTAGCGTGGGCTGATTTCGATAATAATCGTACTGTTATTTTTTTTACCTAAGTGAAATAAAACAAAAACAATATACTCAATAATATTAGTTATAGTCAAATAAACGAACGACACAATAATAGTGAGAATCATAAAAAAAATCAATATAACACATATACATATAATATGTATAGCAAAAGGCCTCGTGCTCGTGTCGTAACAGACCTAATAACAGAACAATATACTAATAATAATTAAGAAAAAAAGTAATAATACTTATCAACCAGTACCGCAGTTAGTTAATTGTGTACCTAAATACACCGAATATTGTATGTAATTAATTTGTTTAAGTTCTAAGCTTGTGGTGTAAAATTAAAAAGTAGAAATTATTCACCAGATATTATTATGCGCGTGTCGGCAAATTATCTTATCTTTGAGGGTTATAAAGTTTATAAACATACAATATTATTATAATGTACCGTACGCGCAATCAGTCAAAGACGCGGTAAATGCAAATCAATTTGTATTGCGTTGGTACGCATTGGGAATTTGCATTTATTTCGTCTTATTGCGTCTTTGGCTGATTGCGCGCGCAGACAGACAATGTGTAGTTGATAAGAAAAAGCAAAACGTCGCCGGGCTGTGATAAGAAAACGGCAAACGTGAGTTATAAGGATTTTGTACCAAAATCTATTGCCCGTTCCGAGTATATTTTTAATCCAAGCTGCTGTTGTACCGTTTTCGTTTTATTATTAAATGCAAGTGAGTGATAATAATTTTCAACAAAAAAAACGTGTCAACGACAAGATCACCGCAAGGCCGTAGCAAGATGCCTGTATATAATATATATATTAGTATTTATACCCTTATCGTTATTGTCAGTTATAATATAATTATTACAAACGATGCTGGTAACGATTAAATCCAGTTCAGTGTCCGTGTTTCCAAGCAATCCCAAAAAGTGTTGTGTATCAAAAATACATAATAATATTATAAGCCTCCGCGTGGATTATTTTTGGCGCGTTTTCTGCCGACACCGATATTGGCATAATATAAATATGTATATATTACAATACAGCGTACATAGCGTGTGAACAAAAAGAAAAAGATCAGACAGACAGAAAGAGAGAGATGCAGGCAGAAAAAGATAGCATAGGCACAGAGGCAAAGACATTAGAGATAAGAACAAGGTACACGGATAATGTGTAATGAAAATTATGTTACTGCTAAACGCAGATAGATTGGAGCGAGACTGGGATAAGTAACAAATAATACATATATAAAATATATATGTAAATAAAAAAGAAGCACGAGATGTGTATTTCTGTATACATATACATAACGTACGTTTAATCATTGGTAAAAAAAAAAAATTAATAAATAAAATAAAAGTAATCATTTTTTTTATAAAAAAGGGTGTCGGTCTTATAATAACCATCATTATCGAAATTGGAAAAAAAACAATTAAAAACTTGTTAAAAACAAAAAAATATATATGTATAATAATATTTGATTTTCGACAAGCGACGCACACGCGTTTTAAAAAAGATCAGCAATTTTTTTTTTATCGTTATACACGGTTATCGGTTATTGTGGTTTTCTATTTCTATCGTTTGGATCCGTCAATTTCGTCTACGTCGTTTTTATTATTATTATTTTGGTAAACAAAAACAAAAATTTGTTTTTTTTATTATTATTTTTATTATTTTTTTTTGTGGTTTATTCCTCACTGAGTGGTGTCTTGTTAGTAGGGACTGCTTGGTGGTGGTGGTGGTGGTGGTGGTTGTCCTCGTCTATGTAAGTGATGTTGTCGGACAGAGGACGGCCCCTCGAGCTGGTGGTCGTGCGGTAACTATGTATGGAACGCCGTTCCTCCAGGTCTTCCAGGTTGGACTTAAAAGCCCGGATGACACGCAGCTGCAAACACACAATCACAACACGCGTGTCATGCGAAGTGTGTCGTTACTTTACTTGTTGGGGGTTTATTTAAAAAACATTTTTTTATCAATTTTCATTTCGGTCGGGGTTTGGTAATTATTTTTTTTGTTATTTTTTTTCATTATCGTTATAGCGGTATTTTTTTAACATATCACAATGTGTTTTTAGTAGGCTGGGCGCCGGTTTTGTGTACCGATTTCATGGAAAGTAAAAACGCCGCTACGTTACTTTTTTCCATGATACGTACTAAAATGATGAAAAATCCGTCGTGTATTGATCGATAAATCGTAGGAAAAACAGCGAATACGCGTTCCATAATTACAAACAGGGCGTCCCGAAAAGAATGGTGGGGTTTCAAACGGCTGTGGGCTGTGAAGTATTGGACCTACAGCGCTCTAGTGGGGCGCTGCACGGAACGACCAAAAGAGACACTTGTCAAGAATTGCACGGGTTCTTACGGGGGGACAGATTTGCTACATCTGCAACTAAAATCAGAGAAGTCGGTATGAAAATATGAAATTACCATTTTTTTTCTTTTATTAGGTGCGACAGACGCTGTTCATTTTATTAACGGAAAATGGGAGAAATCAGTTTCGGCAGCAAAGAAGAATTTTTTAACATTAACGGTTGATTTCTGGCTACACTGATTTGCTGTTTCATTGACCGTCTCTTCTGGTTATCAGAATTTTATCTGTGATTTTACTCGAATAGCAGCGTCTATAAGTAGTTATGGTGGGTCAATAGTCAAAAAAGTTCACCCCTTTCCCTCCGAAATCGATAAAAACCCCTTAAAAATGTATTCTTACTAGGGTATAGTATACAGCCGGTGTACGGGAAATTCTAGAAAATATCATTAAGGACAATATTGCCTTTAAGACGATTTTTATCAGTATTTAATATATTTTATACCATATACAAATTCGCACCGAAGCGTTTTCATTTGTTTTGTTCGAAATCGAATTCATGATTTTCAGTTTTCAAAAAAAAAAAATATGTTTAGTTAATATTATGACGATAGAATACAATGGGAAATGTGACAACGTAGTCATCCCTCCAAACCCATATAAATAATGTTCCGGAATTTAATGTACTCAATTAGGGATGCTAAGCAGAGTTAGGCATTAATGGATTACATTGTTTTATATTGTTCGGAGGGATGAAAACAAAATGAGTGGTTCAAGTTATTTTTTTTACAGTGGAGCAAAACGAAAATTGTAATTCCAATATGGTCTTACAAATAAAAATTGTGATATCAAAAATTCCATTAAAAATGCATTGTTTTTAAATATAATTATAATTTCCAACAAATTATTGACGTAGAATTGGCAATAATAAGAGCTGATAATAGTGGCAATTTCGATAGGATTTTCAATGATAAGGGAAAGCACGCTGATAACAGATTATATAATAACGATGAGAACCTACCCCGATGATAAGAAGTCTAGCGGAAATTTAGAGAACATCTAATCGAAACAAATACTGTACCAAACAGAATTTTGATTATTTCATACATAACCTCGATTACTTCGGTCGGATTGAATCATAGATATAAAAAACAGCTGGACAGCCGACTCTATGAGTCAAGAGATACATATGAAGTTTGGCGGCCATATACTCTGAAAGGGCTAAATGTTGTTATGATTTAATTGTATTGATTGAGCCATGAAACAAAATATGTTATAATAACAGATCACAACATCAATATAATGATAATGCAGTGTTATCATGTCTGTTATCACATAACTCACAAAATAATCAGTCATAATTTGGTCGATGGCTGCCAAACTTCATGGCTCTTTGGGGACTTTAACACCGAGTCGATTATCTAGTTGTTTTATACATCTGCTATGGATTAAATCTAAATCTAACACTTCCGGATCTGCTTATATCCGGTCGGATGCTCGTCGACCGTTTCCGTTCTAGTGCACCCGTGTCCGCCTGCTGGTCCGTTAATACAAAATAATATACTATTAAAACAATATCCTGTCGTAGTAATAGGTATAAATTCCTGTACGGTTTTCATTTGTCGTGGACAAATCGTATACGGCTGGCTCGCTCGCTCTAAATAATAGTTTAATAATAATTAACACACACCGACTGGGGCACGTTGACAATACTTGGCGGTTTATATTACATTGGACGAGAACGCGCGTGCACAATAAAATCGTCAACACGAGGGCTGAGAGTTTTTTTGTTTTTTGAAAATAAAATATAAAAAGCTAGAGTGGAAGAAATTTCCTCCTCAATCATGAGAATAATGTTTTATGGCATCCGCCTGCGACTAAATTTCAACTCGGTTCACCCGATAACGACGAGTGATAAGGAGAAATGATACAAGATAAGAAAATGTGTGATAAGCAATGGTGATAAGAGATAAGGAGACGCGTGGTCCAAAACGAAGGGTGATAATTTGGATATTACTGAAAATTTGGGGCTGACCCGCCCCTCCAACCATAAAACATATTATTTTCATGGTTAAAACGATAACAATGTTCTGTTTGGTTTGACGTGGATGAATGTTTTTTTTTTGTATATTATGATGTATTACTTTTGTGAAAGGCGATGGTCGATGGATGATGAATAAAAAATAAATAATGTAATAATAATATGTACACTGTCGGTGATGATTTTCACCTTTTTCAAGTACTTTCACGTATTTTCACGTCGGTTGTACAATATAATAACAATAACAATATATAATATTATAAAATATATTGTCGACGACGTACCCCCCCGCACCCTCTTCGCAAAAACAACACAGACGTTCGCCTATTTAAAAACCATTACCGTGTGTACACCGTTCGTCCGTGACAACCCCTTTGCCTTTTCGGAAAAGAACATATCGTCGGTATATTTAAATAAATGGATAAAATAATATAAAAGTATAAACATTTTTTTTTTTTAAAAACATAATGTACAGAAAAAAAGAGAACGTACCGAGAAAAAAATAATATACCTAGTGATTATAAAGACAATACCTAAGACAATATTGTTAGTTTTGAAATTTTTTTAAAAAACAATTTTTTTGAACATGTCTTTTGTGCGGAGGTCTATCCGAAATTCTCAAGACGTCTTTTTTTTTTGTTTTTATTTGTCTAAAAATCATCGATGACTTTATCCGTTGTCATTGATAAGTTATTCGTGATAAGAGAATCAGCTGATAAGATAAGATGGAAAAAAAACAGCTGATCACAAGACATGTTCGTCGACCGATGGGGAAAGATTGATAATCTTTATGATTGTTTAGTTTTCGAGAAAACGCAATGGAAAATAGAATGAACATTTTGGAAATTAATGAACCGACGAGACGAGAGAACCTAACAAAAGAAAAATCACTATAAAATAAATATCGACGGTAAAACAATGTTAACAACCGCCGTTGGACGGAGGCAACGACGAGTGTGTCGACAGACACATTAGCAATGGACGATTCAAATTAAAAAAAACCGATAAAAAATAGAGAGAAAAATAATTAAATAAATAATGTTAATTAAAAAACAGTTTATCACGCCAGCAGTGATGCAGCCAATGATGCTCTAACCTGAGTCTGTAGCCTGGTCAGTCCGCGGATCCACAGGATCTGGCCGGCCCGCGGCTTTTGCCCAGAGTCTGGATCATATCTGTTTTCTTCACCTAAGTTTATTGCGTTGGTGTACTCCTCTGGATGACCGCGTCCCCATCTGTGAGCAAAAATAAAACAAAACCACACACACACACATAACGTTTTAATAATGCAGCACAGTCTTATTGGAAATAGTCAAGAATAATTTTGTCTATTAAGATGCAACGTCCTAACGCCATATATCTAGTTTTTTTTCAAACGAAATCATGTTGGCCACACTGTTTTATTGGCTCGGATTTACGACATAGATAACGCAGCAGCAGTGTGACCAGTAAAGGCAAATATAAAACCACGGTGCACTGTTTAGTGATGAATAGTATATTATTGTAGATTGGAAATGTGATAATATATTGATTTATAATATATCAATAGTATTTTTTAAAAACCGAATTACTATACAGTACAAGAGTCAAGACAACTTCTAAAAGAAATATGTTGGCAGCACCTATTCCCTTGCACTACTCAACTCTGAACTGGACGAATAGTTATAATTGAAACTGTTTTTTTTTCGTTAAGTTGAGAAAAACAAGATATTACGAGATGTTGCATCTTAAGCGACGGTAGAAAAACAAATTATTTGCTAAGCGGTTGCCGATACCGAGTTAATGGTACTTTGAACCAGAAATGTTTTTTACTTGGGTGAAAGTCTTAAATAAAAAATTTTATCGGGTACACGCCTAAATAAATTACTGTTGGAGTTTAACTTGGGGCTTTATATATATTATACTTATATCACTACTGAAATATTGTCTTTTCGGTAACGTAATCGAATAACAATTAAATAGTGTTAATAAAAAAAATGCAATAATTCAAAAACCTATTACCGTACATAGTGTTTTATTTGATTTTTTACATTATGCAAGTTTAACGGACTAGAAAAATAAATAAATGCTTAATTTCGAGTAGTTCTTCAACGTATCCAAACAAACAAGATGACCATGCGATAGAACTCGGCTTGACACGCGTAAACACAACGTTTTGCACATATTCGATTCGATAATAATAACTGATGGCATGTTTTTAAATATAGTACCTATAGATAATTTTTTTCAGAGTTATTAATTAAAAAAATTATATCAAGAGAATTCAGCCCAGAGGCCGGTGGTCATAACCGGTGTGAACCGTTACCGGCCTAGCCGTTGTCATAGTTAGGCCCAGGGTTCTCTAACCGTACGGGCGGTCATGATCGAATATCGCGAGGAAAGACGACAGCGTGAGGAAACAAACGAATGTACTCAAGCCACCGTGAGGGTGTCGTAGTGGGCTCGGCACCGGCAACGGCTACGGTGTATTATTTTATTTTACTGTGATTGTGTGACACGTACGACAGAAGTTTCGGGATCTTGCGGGTGGGCACGCACGTGACGATCTGGCCCCACAACAGGGTGCCGAAGCCAAACAGCAGGCACCACATCCACTGTTCCAGGGTGAGGCTCTTGGTGCTGAACGCCTCCTTGCCGTACTGGATGATGAACACCTGCGACAGGACGGTGCCGATCCAGATGCTGTAGAATATCGGGTTGGTGAAGAACCCTTGGAACACGTTGCGCTGGCCGTGTATCTTGCGCGCGTTGATCTCGTTGAACAGCGTCATCATGACGAACGTGTTAAATATGACGGTGAAGTGTTGCGTGGGCTCTGAACCGAACTCGGCGCCGCGGCCGGTGGGTATGTCCAGCATCTTGTCGCCGACGAACAGCAGCGCGAAGATGACCGTCAGCTGGTAGACGGCCTGTCCGATGATGTTCTTCATCATGGTGCGCGATATCAGCGGCTTGGTCCGGCCGTACGGTTTCCGCAGCAGCAGGTCCGACGTGGGCAGTTCAGTGGCCAGGGCCAACGAGGCGAGCGTGTCCATGATCAAGTTCACCCACAACATTTGAACGGCCTGCGGACGACACGCGGTACATGAAACTGTGGATAAGGGATGCAACAGATTGTGTATACGTTTACCTTTAACGGGCTGTCTTGGACCGCGCACGCGCCGATGAACGCCACGATGACGGCCACCACGTTAACGGTCAGCTGGAACTGCAAGAACTTGGCGATGCTGTCGTACACGTTACGGCCCCACATGACGGCCTTGACGATACTGCTGAAGTTGTCGTCCGTCAGTATGATGTCCGACGCTTCTTTGGCCACGTCCGTACCGGCGATACCCTGCCAAAGTCGTTTGTGTCATTAGTCTTTTTATTATTATTAGTAATAAGTGTCTCTCTCTCTCTCACCATAGCGAAACCGACGTCGGCTTTCTTTAGAGCGGGCCCGTCGTTGGTGCCGTCGCCCGTGACGGCCACCACCTCGCGGGATTCCGTGGCCTTGCTGTCGATGATACCCTTGACCAGCGTGTACTTGTCCGTCGGCGACGACCGGGCCAACACTCGCAGTTTGGGCCACACCTTGTCGAGCAGGTGTTGTTGCACCTCGCCGTCCGCGTCCCGGATGCGTTGGTTGAACTCCTTGCCCTCCAACACCAGCATGTCCTCGCCCGGCTTGTAGATGCCGCACTTGGTGGCTATGGAACGGGCGGTGTTGACGTTGTCTCCGGTGACCATGCGCACGGTGATGCCGGCGCGCTGACACTTCCTGATGGCTTCGGGCACCTGTTTGAGCAAAACGCGTTATAAGTATCAACAGTTTTAACTTAGACTCGGTCTATTGGGCTTGGCCACACTCACCTCGGGTCGGACAGGATCTTCAATGCCGACCACGCACAACGCGGTCAGGTCGGACACAATGGCGTCTTCGTCGTCCCAGTCGGGTTCGCCGTCCATCAGCACCTGGTTGGGCGCGTCCGTCTTGTTGGGCACGAAGTCTTTGTACGCCACCGATATGGTGCGCAGACCGTCGGACGCCATGGGCTCGATGACGTTCCTGACCAGCCTGTCTTGCATGTCCCGCGTGAACTTTTCCAGTTTGCCGTCCCGTCCGTAGATGTAGGCGCACTTCTTCAACACGATCTCGGACGCGCCCTTGGTGAACAGCCTGTAGCCGCCGCCCTCCCTTGGTATGGCCGTGCTCATCGACTTGCGCACCGAGTTGAACGTGTACACGCGCGTCAGCATCTCTTCGGGTATGTCGTCGCGCCACGTCTGGTAGTTTTTGCCCAGTGCCAGCACGAAGCCCAGCAGCGCGCACTCGGTCTTGTTGCCCACCTGCTTGGGCAGGTCGCTGGTCGGGTCGTCGGGCGGCATGATCTTGGACGTGTACGCCGAGTTGATCGACACGGCCTGCACCAGTAGGTTTCCCACGTTGGACGGGATCGACGCGAATTGCGGTATTGTTTTGCTCAGCACCTCGCATATGTACGACTGCACGACCGTCATCCGGTTGGTGGTCAGCGTGCCCGTTTTATCCGAGCAGATGGCCGTGGCGTTGCCCATTGTCTCGCACGCGTCCAGATGTCTCACCAAGTTGTTGTCTTTCATCATTTTCTAAGCACAGTAAATATACATGTTTTATTTTATATGTTTCTAATTAATGTAACAATCGAAACGATTTTTGTGCATAAAAATTCTGCTGCTCTTACCTTGACCGAGTAGGCCAGCGACAGGGTGACGGCTAGCGGCAGGCCTTCGGGTACGGCCACCACCAGAACGGTGACACCGATGATCAGGTGCCGGACGAACTCGCCGGCGTAATGGTTCTTCCACGGTTTGTTTTGTATGACGAACGTGGTGATGCAGAACTGTATGACCAATATGAGCACGGTGAGCACGGCGATGGTGGAACCTGCGATGGTAAAATTGCACATTGAGAATCACGCATATATGTTATTCCCCAATCTCTTAGATGTAAAAAACTCACCGGCGTAACCGATTTGAATGGCCAGTTTCGTCAGCTTGGCCTGCAGCACGGACTTGTCCTTCTTGGCCGGTTCCTCCGCTTCGGTCGCCTGTCCTTGGGCGCGGGTCGCTTCCTCTTCCGGTTCGACGGACTTTTCGATGCGTTTCATGCTGATGTCAGCCGCGTGGCTGTTGCTGGTCGGCAAAGGTTCGTCGGTCAAGCTCTTCTTCTTCTTTAGTTTTTTCGCTTCTAAAAGGAAACATATTGTTTTTGTCAATGCGCACTTTCCCTTCGACGGTTTATTAACACTTACCCTTTCGTTGTTTCTTCATCTCCTCCTCCTGCTCGTCGACCGCGGCTCCCAACAGAGTGAATATGATACCGGCCTGCGAGTTGATGCCCACGGCCGTGACCAACATCTTGCCGCTGCCCTCCATCACGTGGGTTCCTGTGCAGAACCGCAAAAGTCGTATTAGCATAAGGTCCGACCACAGGAGCTTGGTAGTAATTTATAAATTGTACTCACCGGACAAGACCATCGGGTCGAACGCTTCTCCCTTCTTCACGTGGTCCGACTCGCCGGTCAAGGAGGATTCGTCTATCTTCAGATCGTTGCTCTGGATGAGAACGCCGTCGGCCGGCAACAAGTCACCGTATTTGATCTGCAACAACACAAAGAGCATGTAGTGGGGCGGGGGAAATATAATTATTATACTTATATATGAACTCTCCGAGGGGCCTGTTACCTGGGCAATGTCACCGACGACTATGTCGCCGACCGATATCTGCCGCAGTTCGCCATTCCTGATCACGTTGAACTTGTGTTCGCCCTCGATGCGGTTCTGCAGCCCACGGAATTGCCGTTCCTTGGTGTAATCGTTGAACGCCGTCACGATGACCACAACAATGACTGATATCAAAATCGCCAGCCCTTCAATCCATCCGTGTTTGGCCTCGTCGTCTTCGGCAGTCATAGCTATAAAGCGGATAAAAAGACAATAATTAGCTTGTTTTTGCAATAAAAAAAAAAAAATTATTATCGTCAATAAGCAGACAAATGATTCAAGTAAAGAAGATCGAGTCGGAGTTGGAGCTTGAGCTAACACATACGTCATGAGAATTTGTTTTTTTTTATGTTCAGACATGATTTTTGAAAATTATTTTTATCATTTTTGAAATACAAAATATTGATTTTAGGATATATATATATAAGGATATAATTATATAGAAGGATATTAGGATAAATATATAAGGATATGAGGATCTAGAAGGATATAAGGGTACATAAGGGTATTAGGATATAATATAAAAGAATATAAGGTTATAAGGATATAATAATGTAAAAGGATATTAGGATATATAGAAGGAAATAAGGATGTATAAGGATATTAGGATATATATATAAGAATACAAGGTTAAAAGGATATAATAAGGATATAAGAATATAGAAGGATACTAGCATATATTTAAAGACGGTTAAGTTTTTTGGTAACGCTGTAAAAACTGTCGATTTTTCCGGTTCCGTGCCAAAGTAATAAAGACATAAAATGTCGAAATCCCGATTATCGTCCCGTAGGGATATCTACGGGGTCGTCGATTTGGCGGAGCGCACAACTAGCAGACCTAGCCCTCCCCTAGACAAAGACGTGGGGGGGGGGCGTTATTACAGCACCGTCGCCGCTATCGGCAGAGTTGCCACGCTGTCTCTTTGGCGATAGCGCAGTTCTTATCAGCTGTTCTATCGGTTATCAATATCTGTTATCAGCTGATACATGACACTCACATTCTTCGTTTACCGGCGTGTACAGGGACAGTCCCAGAGACACGAGTGCGGCTATTTCCAAAATGATGAGCGTCACGTCCTGCAATGCTTCCCAGACGAGTTGCATGAACGTTTTTGGCGGTTTCGGCGGTATGGTGTTGGAGCCGAACGTTTCTTTCCTGTGCTCCAAGTCGGCGCTGGATCCGCTCAATCCTAAACACAGCATAAATTAACCATCTTTCTTATTCTCACCTTACCAACTTTTACCCCACCTTTCCCCCTCCCCCCCCCCAAAAAAAAATTGCTGAAAACCCTCCTGTGTAAATACCAGTTGTAGATATTTTATTTTATTTGTACAGTCATACCCTTCCCCTCTCCTTTTTTCCCCTTTCACTGTGGTTTTTTCCCCTTAATTTTGTTTTACAATATTTCTCACCTTCGCTGGGCGACGTGTACAGTTTTTTACAAACGTCTTGCACGCCTCCGAGTTCGTTCAGCTTGGTGATGCCTTCTGGGCCTCTGTGCTCCATGAGCTCCCGCAGGTTCTTCAACGTCACCCCATACTGGGCGGGTCGTCCGTCTATTGTGGCCATTTTTAAGCTTTCGTTTTTTGTTGTCTGCTTCTTTTAAATCTTTCCCCTTAAAGGTTTAACGTCGGTTAAATTGTTCAATAATAATAATAATAATAGCTGGCAGCTAGCCGTCGTCAGCCGAAGAAGCAACACTCTTTTTGTCCGTCTCGCGATTGTAGTCTGCAACAGAAAAGAAAAACAAATTTTAACTCTCAATCGTTTTCCAGTAAATCAAATATACTACTTCGACCAAACTGTTTGGTTCTAACCGTCGAAAAATAATACATTCTACCACACTCGAAAATGGAGTGGAGATTATTATAGTACTTTCTGATAAGTTAATTATGTCTGTGAACCACTCGACGATGAGAGTTTCGCATATTTTTGTATTTTGATGATTATTATTTGTCTATCAATGTGTCTGCCTAACGTTGATTTATTATGCGTACAATATTAAATACTACCAAGTGGGGTGGATTTGAATTTCATAAAATAAATTACAAATTTATTTCAAAATAATAATCATCAAATATAAGAATTTGCACAACTCTGCCAGTGACATACAAATGTTGGACATCAGTATAGTAATAATTATCGTCCGGAAATTAATTCCTGTGGACGTTTTAGTTGTTTTTTTTTTTTAATGCGGCCAAGTCGAAATTACACAGACACACACACATGATGTTGTATACCTATATATTATTTTTATTATGTGTAGCACATATAATGCCTAACCGGACGTCACTAATTTACAGCGGCCACAGCAGAGTATAGAGAGAGAGGCAAACGCATAATATGTATAAATATATATATATACATATTTTATATCTAATATGTGCACACAAGATCCCCAGACGTGTGCGTCATCGGTGGGGCTTAACGAATATGCAAAACCCGGCGCAGTAATTAACATATATGATAATAATGTAACTAAAAAAATAAAAAACGTCAGCGGTTGCACAAAATGCGGTTGTGTAAAAAAATAATAGCAACGATAAATCATGACCGAGTAAGGAAAAAAATACTAGCCGTTATTAACATGCTGCTGTTCAATAGACACGTTTAGCACAGGTAAACATACCGGCTGATTGTTTTTTAACGCCCTAAACTTGTTTTTTTTCTTTCTTGAAACAGTTGATATTTTGTAGTATTTTTTTTTTTGCAAATGTTTACTGGTCGATAACCAGTTTTAGGCAAATAGTTTTAGAGCTGTTGTTAGAGTTATTTTCATCTGAACAATTTGGCCAAAGGTCGTCCAATCAAAAGAGGTTGTGAATTCGTAAGAGATTGAACGCAATCAAAAAACAATGTTTGCTCTATTTGCAAAGAATGTAAACCGAAAATGTTTGCATATGATTGGAAAAACAGATGCGAATGATGTTATATTGGACGTAACGTGTGCAAATAATAAAATATATAAAGCAAATATTAGTTTACAGAAACAATTGTTGTTTACCTGTTCCAGAAATATTATCAACGACAAACGACAAATTCGGAATGTATTATCATGTTTCGATACTGAACGATTTTATCATAAAAATAGGTAAAAAAATAAACTGAGATAGCCATTTTGTAGCTGAAAGGTAAACTCGTGTTATCATATTTTTGAGTAATATCATAATGTCCCTTTTCCACTCGCTGGGCTGTTTCGTATGATGATATATCATATGGCTTCGGTGCGCGCTATTATTATATTCTTTGTTTTCCAACGTCGTTTTTATGTGGTAGGTTTTTGTTTTTTAATTTCCACCTTAGTTCTCGCAAAACTAAAACTCGGGATTAATTATTAATTATTCGAGCCAGACGACGCCCCCCCAAATAAGCTTCTAATAAAAGAGGTCTTAAAGCGGTCGACGGGGCGACGACAAAGGCTGCTCCCGTTTGGTTAATATTATTATTAACGTGCAAAACTTTGCCGGGTAATGGGAAAAGTTCGTTGGGGTAAAACCCGGGGATGCGGTTAATTTTGGACGCAGGGAAAACCGACGCGGGGGAATTGTCGAGTGTTTACCGGGAAAACCCGGCGACGGCAAACATTACTATAGCTATTATTATTATTGAATCGGCTTTTACCGGGAAAACACACCCTGGAAAGGTAATATTAATTTACCGGGAATTGCCACACGGCCGCCGCCGGTATTTCCCAGAATGATAAATAATGTTGTAAGACAATAGAAATTCTAAACAACCACTTTTGATTGGTTCAACTCCTCAATGCAGTAGTGCCAAAAATATACTGTACACGTTATTAGCAATAACAACTAAAAACTGATAAGAAATACCGATAACAAGTAGTCGATTTTGATCAAAAAATGTCTTTGACATCGCCGTATAACAGAATAATTCGTTTTATTTCATCGGTTGGTCACGCTGACCCGAGAATATTAAAGTTTGTATACATTTTTTAATTTTATTTTTTAGAGAGCACTATCTGGTTTAAAAATGGTTCAATCAACTTTCAAATAATGTATTTCAAAAATAAATGTGTTCAAATAAAATATGATGTCCTGAATAGATAAATAGAAAACAGTACAATAAATACAATTTTAAATGAAAGATTATTTTATACGGTCAATACAAATGGAATTCAACTGAATTTAAACAACAAAGTAATTTTGTTGGACTTTTCAGTGATGTTATTTTGGAAAATTATTCATTATATATTTTGACATTATTTTGAATATAAACCCACATAAATGTTAACTAAAATTGTATAATGTATATCCTAAAAAGATGTCAAAGGGTAATTTAAAAGGGTAATTGTTGAATATAAATTTGCAATATACATAATTTGACTTTTTGAGTTATTAGCATATTATTTTTATTATAAATATTAACGAACAAAAATGTGCGGTTGAGTATTAAATTACATAATTTGTTTTATCCAATTTTTACTTAGAACCCTTTTGTCTTGCAAATTTATAACAAAACCATAGTTATTTCTTAGAAAAAGATACAAGGTAATTTGTTTAAGTATAAGACACCCATTTTTTATGGTTAGTCCAATAATTGAGTTATTTCCATGTCACATTGTTAGGTTAGGTTAGATTATAATAGACCCAGATGATAAGATATTTTTGATAAGAAAACAGTGATAAGAGATAACGATAACATTATATTTATTTTTATTTCATCCAGATTTAACAAATCAAGATAACTAATTTAATCCAACTAGGGGACACAAAAAATCTTTGCTGATCATATAAGACATATTAATGTTCGAATGTCTGATGCTGATAAGAGATAAACGATAACAGATAAATTAATAGCTCTGTACAGGTAACATTATCGCTTTACAAGAGAGAATTAATTATCGTCAAAAGACAAAATGGTTTTGGACGGCAATACGTAAATTCGTTAACTTTATACCGTTTAAGTGAGCCAGCACAATGACTTTGCAATTAAGCGTTTAATTACTTGCAAAGATCAAATTTTATTATCGTCACGAGAGAGAGAGAGATAGAGAGAGACGATTGCTGTTGTGATTTAATAGACCCTCATAACACCGTGGTTCAATATCGATTAACGTCACACATAATACAATAATAATATATTCGAAAATTGAATTTGAATTAATTCGTGTTGGAACAAGGACATTAACTATATCTTAAAATGATTATTACAACGTGCACGATGACCAGTTTTGGTTAACAACTTGGTAAACTGAATGGTTACATTCAGTTTTTTTATAACAATGTAAAAACAACAATTTATGAAAACATTTTTAGTAGAGTGTCTTAATGAATCACCCTGTATACCGATGTCGTCATTGGATTATTAAAAAAAAAATTAAAACGTTAACTTCAAACGTCAGCGAATACCTAAAAGTTGCTAATTTTATATATTTATTTTTATTTTTACAGAAATTACAGAACGTCACTTGTCCAAGAAAAATCAATAGTCGGAGCACATTCTTTGATAATTTTATGTGAATTAAATGTACAAGTTGCAATATTTTTTTTTAATATAGATTTGTTACAGTTTTTCACATATTACAATGTGGTAGGTTAGGTTAGGTCATCAAATTTTTAACATTTGCGACAACTCACTTCTATTGAATGTCATTAGTTTTTTATATTGCTCAAGTACTTGTGTATGTATTATGCTGGAAGTTTTATTTTTGGACGTGACACAATCGTGTAAATGCTTTATAAATTGTAAAACATTTTTTTGGCATAGTTGTATTATAAAAAAAGATTTATTGAAACACTCAAATGTATAATTCGTTATGAATTGCCTGCCATTTTAATACACTGGTGAATGTGCATAAAATATAGTGTTGAGTTTTTGTCAAATGTAAAAAATAAATATAAAAAATCATCGACCTAACCGTTATCGTTATCTAAGACAATATTTGTTTCGCGCCATTTTCGTATTAAGCCTGACCTCGTTTCTCGAGTCACCTTATCTCTGTCCATATTGTTTCTTCATTTCGGTTGACTGAAACATCTAGATAATATTATTATGTTATAATACTATTATTGTGAACACGGTCGGTTTAACTCGGTTAGGTTGTTTGCGAAGCTCTAAACGTTTGTGTGTGTTTGTCTGATATAACGTTACCGGTGTTGCGTCACACACACACAATCTCTACTTAAGATATAAAAAAAAAAACAGAAACAAATAATAATATAATTCACTTTGACGAACAAACTAGAACTGCACAAGTCGGACCTTTTCAAAACGTCTCCTTGCAAACATTTTTTTTTAAACCAAAATATAGATTTTTCTATCTCTTCCACCAAAAATTTCTTTTACTTTAAAAAAAAATGTGTTGTACAACAAAATAATGATTGACAACAAGTATTGATTGAAATAAAATTATATCCACCTTACCGTCGAAGGAAAGACTTAAGATCAGCAGATTTTCTGTCCCCCAGTTGGATTAAGATTAGCTGTTATCAGTTAAATCTGGATTGAATTTATAATATTATGTTATCATTTTTATTTGTTATCATTTTTATCTGTTATCGTTGTTCGCTCTTATCAAACGTATCTTATCATATTGAATATTTATATATAAGACAAAAAAAACCATTGACAGTATACCCAATTGTTGTATTTAACACGAATATTTTACATTCCGCCGGCATTATATTTAGACAAAAACATAATAAAAAAAACTACTTCTGGTACAGCCAACATTTATCACGGTTAGTTAATGTACAACGATGACCTATTTAAAAAAAAAAAAAAAAAAGAACTCCGACTAGTTAATTGAATAGTACAAGCCGTATTTAAAACGGAAGAATGAAGTGGTTAATTTTTTATTTTTTTTTATTTAAATTTCTACACGACCGACAATCTGTTTTTTGTTCTCTCCATTTCCATATTGTAGTGTATGTTAATAAAATTCAAACATTTGAACATCACATTTCTTTTTTTTTTAGAAGGGAGAAAAAACAGTAGGTAAACTTTATTAACGTTATTATCATTATGTTTTTTATCGACCTATCATAGATTTTTGTTTTCCACATAAGAGTAAAACCATAATAACGAAATTTAAAAAAAAAAATCAAGTTTTAAAATCCAATACAGAAAAAAGTTATTTCATCTGTCAAAATCCTCGTTGCCAACGCTGTATTGAAATATAAAAAATAAAGCTTGATAAACCTTTATTTAATATGCATTTATTATTTTTATAGTCATAACATGGTAAACAAATTTAAATTAAAATAAAATTCTAAAAAAACACTTTTAACCGTTTTCTGTTGAGAATTACTTTGAAAATTAAACGGCTGTGTATTTTATTTTTAAACAATAAAAGGACCAAAACCGGGTTTTTCCAGTTATTTAGTTCTACTTTAAGATATGGGAAAAAAAATATTAATAAATCTTTTTCTATATTCTAAATTTGAATGCAACAAACATCTAGTTATTTTCTAAGGAGGGAGCTCTTAATAATTTTTTGAGTTGTTATTTTATATCAAAATTATTCCTGGGGCCTTATTATGAAACCGTACGGAACGATTCCGTATACGGAATTATCGTTTTCGTTTACGGAATTAATAACATTCCGTACACGGAATTAACATTCCGTATACAGAATTAACATTCCATAAACGGAATTATTACGGATTGTCTCTATCGTCCGGAATAATTTTGTATAAAAATATGGTACAATCATTATATTATAATTATTAAAATAATAATAATTGTTATCGTTATTAGTATTAGTATTATTATTACAATTGTTTGCATTATCATTATCATCATCATCAATATTATCATTATTATTATTAATATTATTATTATTATTATTATTATTATTAATACATTTTATAATTGTATTGTTTAATATTTAAAAATAATATAATCGCTGGAAATCAAATATTAATAACAGTTCCAAATTATTTAATTATGTTATGTTTTGGAAATATATTTAAAATATTTGTATTATTATTATTTAATTTTCAGCGAAAATATGTTTTTAAAATATTAAATAATTGTTTAAGCTATCATAAAATATAATATATTATAATACTATACATTATAATATATTAATAATACAAAAATAATAGTTAACATTCCGTATGCGGAATTATCCGTATGAACCACGATAAAAAAAACTCCGTACGAAAATAGAGAATCGAGCAATGTTAATATTATTATAATATATTCTTTTATATATATTTATATTTAATTTTTATGTTAATAATTATAATAATAATACTTATACTAATAATGATAACGATAACAATTATAATGACAATTATGATGATAACGATAATCATAATTATAATTATAATAATACTAATAATGATAATAATGATGATGGTGATAATGACAATGATACAATTATAATAATTATAATATAATGAATGTATGATATTGTTATATTCGTATACGAAATTATTCTGGACGGTGGAGACCATCCGTAATAATTTCGTACGGAATATACAAAATAATTCCGTACACCAACGCTTTTTTCCTACGGAGGACGGTTCATACGAATAATTCCGTATACGGAATCGTTCCGTACGGTTTCATAATAAGGCCCCTAGTAATAGTTACAAGATTTCCATGTCCCGGTTTAAAACACACATAGAAAATTATCTTGAAATAATTTTTTTTTTTAAATGCACGTTATATCAACAAAGTAATATAAATATATATATATTTTTTAGTGATCCAATAAATATCTCTCGGTGTTTAATTGGTTATTGAATTTTTTTGCCGTTTTTTGTGCAATTTGATTTCAATTTTTCACAATTTTTTATGTTTTCCACTCCTCTTCGAAATTAATTATTTGTGAATCTACTTTTAAAACTTGTAAAATGGTATATATTTTTTTTTTTGCTTAAGAATGATAGTTTACTGACAATTTTGTCTGGTCGATAACAATTGAGATATTGAGCGGATCACTTTGAAACACAGTCCCTATGTATGTAATAGCTATTTATGAATATTATAATTAAAAAAAAAACCAATTGTAGATTCGCTACACGTTACAACATTATGGTCACCAGATATAAAAAACCAAAAAAAGTACTTTTTAAAATTTAGCACTTATTATTATTATAACCCATTGGTCATCTAAACAGTGTTGAAAAATTCAAATATTGCGGTCAGAAATAATATTGCCTAAGTTTTACCCGTATAATTGGTGTAAACTTAAATAGTATATTTTTTGAACTTATTTTAATGACGAACAGCAATTAACTGGAAATCTCCACTGGTCCATAACCAGTTTTAGATAGATAATAATCTCTTACCTAATAAACGTTGTTGAGTGGATCCACAGTCCCTATGTATAAAAATCCAACTGTAAAACGAAGCACTATGATTTCAATGTTCGAATGACTTACTTACTTACTTAAACTATACTTGTGCGATTAAAAAAATATATAAAATTCAAGTTGAATTTCTGACCGCGATATTCGGACCTGCGGACCGCGTGCATTTAAACACATACCCGGTAATTGGTACTTACCAGAAAATCATTTGAATCGGATCAATAATCTCCGCGGTCGTCTGCTGCGGCAACGGCGGCGGCGGTCAGCGTTGTGAAGAAGACGCCTGTGTCGGCGGCGGCCGTCGTCGCGGTCGTTTTAGTCGACGACGTTGGCGGCGGCGTACTTACCGCCCGCGGCGGCAGCGGCTGATTCTGCTTACTTGCGTAGCGGCCGCTCCGGTGTGTCGGCGGTATTATCTCGTCCGTGTCCGCGCAACCGACAAAAAACGTAAATATTCCTGTAAACAAAACAAAACAAATAAAATGCCGCGTTAAGTCAGTAACGAGTTACGACGAGAGAGCTACGCCGCGAGTTACACACACTAACTCGAGTCGACGCATCGCGCGAAACAATAATATAATATACAGGGCGATCCATCCGATGTCTAAAATGTGTTTACTATATACCGAGTGATTCTATTAACGCCCTACACTGGTTTATTCTTACAGTTATTATGTAGCGTTTCTTTTTGAAAACATTTTCGTTTATGTTAATATAGCACAATTTTAGACAATATTCAAATTTTTATCTTGTATAATATTATTAGTTGCTAGAGCTTCACCGAATTTTAAAACTCAAACGGTAATGTATTAATTTAATTAAATGTTTAAATCTGACTCTAGTCGATTAGTCAGTTTTGAATAATTATTTTTGTGCGGTCCAGAAATGGGCGCAGATAAAAATAAATCTAATAAAACTATTTTACAACAAAACGTCACTCACTTAACATCACAATATTATCCACTCGCCCCTTTAATTGTTACTTTTTAGTTTTTATTTTTGAGAGGAAACCGGTGTAGAGCGTTGTTTAATGAATGACCCGGTATATGTTTTAATACTTTGAATTATTATTTTTTTATCGTTATCTCTTATAGAGAAAACAATATCGACCTCGTTTTTTTTCAAACGGGAACATAGGTCATCTCCTATTAAACCTTAGAAAATGTCGGTAGGTCACCTGCTAAACGAATGTCTAAACAAAATATACAAATATCTCAGAAGATAAAATTATAAAAGACTTATATTAATTTTTATACATTTGACATACATTTAACATTTTTCTTCATGCTACACTAAAATATGTACATTTTTATCTCTCCCCTTTAGTATTAGGTGCTGATAACAACATTATTGAGGTTAATCACAGCGTCATCATATTGTGTGTGTGTGTGTGTGTGTTATCTCAGAATTTTTAAAACGTTTAATTCGATTTGACCCTTTAGAACATGCGTGATGGACCGTCCTAAATAGTTTTATTAAATTCTATGATCCCTGTGAGTGCTATGATTTTGATAAAACTGTAAACAAGCCGCCAAAACCGTCCTCAATAATAATAATAGTAACCCCGCTGGCAGCAAACAAAAATTATAATCTTTATGAGAACGCATCGTTTCACAACCGAGTTCATTGATTTGGTTAACACCGATTTGTGATAAAAATTATCCCACAACATGTTAATTATTATAATGAAACGTTTTTGTACAATATTTTTTATTTCTAAAATGTGATCACACTATAAACCCAGTAGGCTTTCGGCTATCAGTAAACGACACCACAGTGCAACCCGTCTTATCTAATCTGTTACAATATTGAATCATGCATTCTATGAATTAATAGACATAGTTCATTGTACTTGAGTGCAACGCGTTATTCGCGGATCCACGAAGATCTAATAAGAATGATTAAAAAAAGTGTTAACTCTTTTTCCTCTTTTTTTTTTATGTACTTGTGAACAATATCATTATCTATCGATAATAATTGATGTTGATGCGATGACTCATAATGTTTTGTCAGATGATACTTTATACTCATATTTTATCATAAATTATATAACTAATTTAACATGATGAAGTATGTAATTACCTGTAAGACAGTAAGACTGTTAACGAATTTGGCTATAACACCAATGTATATATTACGTGCAATTCAATTTATTTCGCTAAGTTACTATTTTGACATTTGTTCGATTATCCTTTTGTATTTAAATCACCTCGACCAGACTACAGGCATACAGTTAAATGTTAATTCTAGAGAGCGGATTTTTAGATTTTTTTTTTACAAGCTACATTTTTTAGCTTTATGCAGCTCAAAGGGGGTGGGGTGTGTATCTGTCAATTATAGAGAATACTTTCAGTTAAGAGCATATTTCATTCAAGGCACGTTTCACCGGTTTTCCTTTAATGGATTACCTAGGGAATAATAATTTTGACATTTTTATAACCTAAAAATACGCTTTCTAGAATTATTTTGTAAACACACATCAAAGTGACTATTTTGCCAGACTTATGCGCTATTATATACACTATTATTACACTATATATTATTTATTGTCCAACTGATTTATATGGTACTACCGGTCGTCTGCGTGGGCGATGCATACAGCGTGTGCCGGTCGATTATTATTTTTTTTTTTTCTAATAGGAAATTTCACGGTTGAACGATTATATGCGTTTTGTACGCGTTTCAATTAGTCCACGACGTTGTGTTATTGTTATATTATGTGTATATATAATAATAATAATGGCTATAAAATCCCCGATTGGACTCGAGCGGGCGGTGCAAACGGGATATCGATGATGACCAAAAACGAAAACGAAAAAAAAAACACTAAGAAATACATCTAAGAACATTTAAATAAATAAACAATCGCCACGGTCCGTATGAGCTGTAAAAAACCCGTCGGTGCTGCTGGGTTTGGCGCCGACGTGCACGCCAGATGTTAACGAGGAAAAATATATTACAAAAAATTAAAAAAAACCTAAGAAAACCTTAAAAAAATAATTTTTTTTTATTGCCTGTCGCTCGGAAATTATCTCTTCAAATCGTCAACACGTGTGTTTGCGACGAGTCAACCATTTAAAATTGACTACACAAAAAAAAAAACAGTAAACGATATTTTCTTATTGCAAAAGTTAGTCGACCCGAAGACGCCTGTTTCCCCGCAATTATTGTTTTATTAGGATAGTTGATAATTTTTACAAGGAAACAAGTTAATTCGTAGAGCACTGCTCGTCAACGTTTTATTTACATTCTTATAGATAAAGCGTTGTAAAACACCGCCTCTGAAAGTTTAAAATAAGAATGAGAGCTGATAATGAGAAGAGATGGCAAGAGATGAAAAGTGTGATAAGGAGATGGACGAGCTCATAATAAAATATATTTATACATTAGTCGTGTATAGACATAATTTATTATATCATTATAACGGATACGGAAAATGGCCACCACGTTTGTTAGTTTACATTGAAAGTGTTCATATTGATTTAATTTATTCTGCGATACCTAAATGATTTTTTCTGACTCTTATCAATAATCTCATACCGGCTAATAATCTTATCATTCGTCTCTTAACAGCTGTTATCAATGAGTCGTTCATTCCCCCCTTATCATGTTATCTCACAACCTAATAAAAACCCGGTAGGTACACGCTGACTTTTATTAACTCGGGCAACGCTAAATGGTTATGTTCTTGTTCGACTTAAGTAACAAAAAATAAATAAAAAAACGCCCTTATAAACAGAGTCATTTCGCAAAGGTGAACACTGCCGACACTGGTGAATAATATTCAAACAAAGGTATGAGTCATGAATAAAATAATATACTCGGGCGTCACGCATAAGCGTCCATTAAGTGTATTAGAGGAGTGCACTACAATATTCAGTGGTCCCAAAACACACATTAAATAACGATCAAACGCGAACCATTATACTTTGTGAGTTACATAATTTTATGCGTACACGGTACATTCTAATAGAAAGGTTTCTCTGAACTGACACTTACTTTTCGGGCAAGTATATCATAATGTTATCAAAAAATAAAAAAAACAAATTCCAATTGCCCCTCGAAGCGACCAGCTGATTTCCTAATATACCTTATCAGCTGGCCAGCCAATTAAATAGATGACACTACGTAGATGACTATAATGTCTATTCTCCATTAGTGACGATACTAACGATACAGATTATAGTTCTTATTTGTATAAATATTGTGTAATTGAACTGAGGCCCTTCCTTTTGATTAGACGACTCTACATTCACAACACATGCATATCTTGCTAATGGGTAATATGGCCCTGCAGTTATCTACATACAAGGCATCCTTCTTTAGGTCACATACAAAAAAAACATCCTAAATTGGAATTCGACGACGATAATTACTATACATTCTGGTTGAAAAGAAAAATATTTAAAAATAAAACTAGTATTAGTCATGTGTGACTCGGATGTGTGAACGACTGTTTTTTATGTATTTTATTTTTTACCATCCAATGCGATGGTAACAATGATGACTTCACCGATTATGTCGGTCGTGGATCGTGTACACGTTACCTTGTACGGTCAAACAGGTGGGGCGGATAATATATGTATTATTATGAGCACATAATATAACATTTGATTACACTATTTTATCATACACACATTGGGAGTACAACACAGCTCTGGTTTGTATTTAGATTTTAAACACTTGCAAACAAAATACAAAAAAAGGCCAAGTTTTCAATTGGTAAAAAATTCCATAATAAAATTGAGTTTTTTAACGAAAATGTCTAACCAAAATAAATTTTGCACTTATATTTTGTTCATATTGTCAAAACATAAAAACAAAAATAGCCCCCCCCCCGACCCCCTCGCCATTAAGTGTTGAATAACGACTGGATTTATACACATATATTCGGATATTGTACATAAAATATAGGCTTACTACGTCGAAGGGGCCAACTAAGGTTTACGACCTTGGATGACATAAGACGTATTTTCTTTTTGCAACGTTCTACTTTTGAATGTATAAAACATATACTAACATATATTGTTACATGTTATCAGACTTTGGAAATTGTAAATTGTATTCAATAAAAAGCTATGGCCCCTACGACAGAAAGAAAAAATAGAAAAGGAGGTCAAACAATAAGAACTAAAGAATTTGTATACAAAAAATAAGATACAGTGCAGTTTGTAAGGACAGTTTGTTGGAGACTTGCTTGAGCAGATGGCTTATTCTTATTAAGATATGGTATTGGTAAACCAAATAGACCACGGGGACATAAACCAAGACCAATATTCCTTGAAGTGATCAAATAAGACCCGAAGGAGTTAAAACCAAATTGGAACGGAAACTTGCACTTAGCTTACGCAGAAGCAAAGATCCCAAATGGCGTTTTATATAAAGTTTTGGCTGAACTTTTAACAGCTATTGTTTTGGCATTGGGACACAGATCAGAGAAGTCTTATTGTGGCTGTG